TTCTCGTCCGCTCTATCGCGGCTTTTGCTTCTCTACGCTCCTCAATCTTCCGCCAGGTTTCATCTGTGATCCACTCTTTCCTCTGGGTGCGCAGCTCACCCAAGTTGTGTCACGTTCCTAGGCCGTAAATGGCCACCATTGCACAGTGGTCCAGAATGCAGATTTAGGTGGAATGATATGTTTGAAGTCTAAATTGAAACTTTAGACTAAGTATTTTCTGCAAAGTTGTTCCTTATAGTTGGCCCTCATTTTTATGACAATGAATTCTAGGGTGGTTCTTTTTACCATTGAAATTAAAAATCTAGCTTTTTTTTGTTTGAAGAAATTAAGGTATACATTTTGGACAAAGTTATAGCTAAGCTAATTTGAAGCAACTTTGTACAATAGAACTTTTTTGTATCTCTTAAATTGACCGATTTAGAGCTGTTTTCTTGAATTGAGTTAGGGTGTCTCTCAAAACAGTAGTTTTGCTCTAGTTTTCTTATGTCAAATTTCTCAGCAAAGATGTCAATAACTTTCTGATCTTTTAAAGTCGCAAATTTTTGCTCCACAGAGCTTGTCGATATCTTTCGCCGATCAAGAGTTATTGACGTTTTTCTACTGTAAATATGTCCTTTTCAAATGTTAAAATCTCTGGTTACGGCAAAAAAAAGTGTTGTTACGGCATTTGAAAGAGCGTATCTTATTCTCAATAATATTAAAAAATTAGAGGTAGGTTATTTTTAAAATTCGAATAAAATCGACGGTTTGCGAATCCGTGCTGTAGCGGTTCGATATTGGAACAAAATTTCTAGATTTAACAATACCAGTCGCACAAATTGACACATCAGTTTTCCTCCATCTTTGGATGTTATATCCAAAATGGATTTTTGAGCTTGTCCTCAACTGTGGTGAAAACTTTTTTTTCCTTTGGTTTGTTTTTTCCGTCGATCTTGTTTTCCGTGCTGAGCACCAATGCTACCGACGTGCCAGGAAGGCAGCTCCCACACCTGGACCCTACCTATCGACCCATCAACTCATGAACCGGGGACCAACGGTTTTACTTCCCATCCGAAGGAAGGCGTGATCAGAGATGTTATGCCTCAGAACATCCCGGCGGCGGATTGAACCCAGGCCTTTTGGGGTGAGAGGTAATCACGCTTACCACTACACCACCGGTGTCGTTGTGGTGAAAACTTAACGAAAAGCAAAATGGACAATACTGAAGGTTTTCGCGTGAAGGTGACCCACAAATGAAAAAAAAAAAAACAATTGCAAATCATCCTATTCCATCGCGCTGCTGGACTGGCACCTTAAAATTTGATCTCATTGCACTATTTATTACCATTACGGTATTCCGTTGCATATCGCTGACATAATGCAACTGTTCCTTTCTTCCGCATTCACATTCAATGCATTGATATCTTTATGAACCAGATGTGTATCAAATATCATAATTCACACATATGGAATGCTATGCAGAGCGCTACAAATTAATATATGTATATCATTGATAATAATAGACACCCTCGCCTCCACCTTGCTGCTTTAGTTCAATTTTCAACTTGTGATAGTGCATACAAATGATGGTAATTATGGGTGGGCGCCACACCACCATCGCCATTGCATCGCATTGGCATCGGGTTCACATTTCGTGCATTCATTTGACTCTGCGGCCTCTGGGGTCTGTTAGCAGCAGCAGCAGCATTCATCATTAATGAGCCGCCCGGTTGGGGTGTTGTTACACGACGGGCAGCAGAAAGCAAGTACCTCACCTTTGCAAATCATGTAACGTTTAGCGGAGGGCCCATAATTAGCCGCCTTTTTGCGCTTATCAATTACGCCCGACCAGGCGCGATGATAGTGGCAATCATACGGTGTGTATGGATGGGCACGAGCCAGGGCTCCTCGCGCATTGATTGATTGCACTGTTACTCTACTGGGTCTCACCTGTAACAATACCAAGGAGCTGTAGGCTGTACCACACCGTGTACCGGAATGCGCTGATTGATTCCCGCTGTCAAATTGCATACAGCTACCGTTTGCATCATTTTTCGAAAGTGAATTCTATTTTGTTTGGCTGGAGAGTAACAAACACCTGCGAAACAGATTTCAATTAGGTAGCATAATTACAAAATTATTGGTAAATATGCTGGGAATGTTTTTGTTTGGGTTTGTTGGAGCTTTGTGTCAGTCGATAATATAAATGATGATTAGTGTGGATATACGTTCTACTCCATTTTTTTGGTTCTCAAGATTGAAGAAGAGGGAATTTCTCCTGGAGTTTCAGGAGGATCTTATTTAGTAATTCCTGAAGATTTAATTCTGAAACTTCGATAAATCCAAATCTCTAGTGGATTCTAGTGTGATCATGTTATACTCCAGTGAATTAGTATAGTTTGTAGGGAACATCCATCTGGTTGCAGTCAACTGACTGTGCTTTTGTGGTAAAATTTGAGTTACCTTTCCTCTATTTTTTTTCATTTGGCGTCACTAAAACAAGATCAAAAAAGCGCTTACGTGATTAAAATCGATCATTTATTTACGATTACCAAAAGTATAAAGAGTGACTTACCTTAATAATTCATAATACTTCATAATCGTCAACTAGGTGATTTTTTTCTCTGTTCGGGATATAACACCACTGCGACCAGTAATTTGATCTAAATATTGTAGTATATCCCGTGTCCTTAGTTTAGTGCATGTCGCATAACTCCATCACCATTGAAACATGATGAAGTATTCGTTTTTTTACAGTTGCCACTCTTGCATTTATCGCAAGGATCCGACTCTAATTGAAAGGTCCCGCTATTTATACCCTTCGGAGTGTTGAAACACCCTCCAAAGGCGGTGCGCCCTTTGTCAGTCAAAATTGGATTCCTTAGCGACAAAATTAAGGAATGACACCGATAATGACCATGCATCAGAACCCTAGTCTTAACCCCTTCAAACTATGGAACAACGAATAGAAGATTAAGAATCACATAGATGAAGACTAAGTAACTCATTTTTTCCTTGTTTCAAGATCATACTCGGTCCAGGCAACCCGAGGACTTATCACTATCAACAAGGCATAAAAAGTAACAAGGACTAAGATGTGTTCCTTTGATTACTGAAAAATACTGTTCCCTTAATTTGAAGTAGTCAGGACTAGGAATCGGTGGTAGATCTTACATCCCGTAACGTACCACGGATCTTAGATGCTCAACCTGATGTTCGAACCTGACGATTGTTTTTTTTTCGTGGAGTTTTTTTGACGTAGGATTACGTCTGTGATTTCTATATGGGAGTACACTTAGTGAAAACCGAAAATGGAGCATGTAACAAAATTATGAAAGATTTTGAACGTTAATATCTCAGCTGCCCCTTGAGCAATTTCAATAATTTTATCACCAATCGATCAGAAATATTTATACGCATCTGTTAATTTTAAGACTTAATCATTTTTCAAAATTTCACTGTTGAAAATTCCACAAATGTGCATCTGTTGCTATGATAATTAAAATTACCAACTATTGCCTGTGAAAAGCGATTTCTCTAAGACAGATTTCAAAGATGAGTTCCATCTGGTCTCACCATACGGTATTTATTCAATAACCGCGTGGTGAGTGGTAGTGTTCTTCAGTATACAACAAAAGGCTCCCCACAAGCAGCTAGCTATCAAGGCTGGCCTCAACCGCTGATCGGATTCAGTTCCAATCACCGTGTGTGGTGGTGTCCGATCGTCCGCATCAGCAGCAGCAGCAGTGCTTTCGGCACATGGCGTTTGTTGTTCTCCAATACACAACGAAAGGCTGCCTGCCACATGAGCATCCATAGAAGGAGGAAGAAGCCACACCGCTATGGATCGGAATCAGCAGCTCTTCGTGAGTCGCTGTGGGCCATCCATGTCAAGCACGTCATACTAAAGAGTATAAAAAGAGAGAACCCCGCTCAAATCCCTATTCCCACACAAAACACAAGCTGTAGTTAACAAATAATATTTATTATATAAGACCACGTAGTCCTACGTCACCATTGCGTACAACCCCATAGGGTTGTCCCTAGTAGTTTTTTTTTTATATCTATAATCGGTTGCTGATGTGACCATAACCAGACCCAGGATACAACTTCTAGTTCCTCATTCTAGGTCCCTATTATTTGCCACTGAGAAGCTGTTCCGAAGCCAAGTAGAACCACCACGAGGCATCTCATCATTCGTCCCATCATTAGTTCCATCATTCGTCCCATCATTAGTTCCATCATTCGTTGAGTCGCAGCGTTGAACCTGACTATTGGCCACGAAAATGCTTGCCAATGCATATCAAAAATCGACTACATACATCCGAACATTTGTTTATTTGAAGAAATTCCGCGCAACTACCATAAACCGGACTAGTTCATGTTGATCTTTCTCAAGCTTCGTCTACAATTTGGACTTCTACATCAACATATGTCAGGCAGCCTTCAGGTTCAATTGGCTAAACTTGGTGAGTTCGTTCCACTTTGTAAACTTTTATCTTTTCAAACCAGTAACGTTGGGAGATCACCTTTTTGTGGTGCGTTACTGGTATAAGATCCATCACCGAACCTTAGTCGTGACAACTTCAAACTTGAGAATCACGATTTTCCAGTAATCAAAGGGTCACATTTTAGTTCTTGTTACTTATTATGACTTTATAATAGTGACAAGACTCGGGTAGTGACCAAATCAAAAATATTGTTTATGTTCATAGATTTCACATAATCCTTTTCCCTTTGTCCTTCTCTTTTGCCCAACCGTCAGAAGAAAATGGAGCATCGTTTAATCTTTCTAGCTTTGATGCTTCCAACGACTAACCAATCATATAATTATCAAAATCGGAACGTACGTACTTCAACTTAAACAGGCCCACTGTTTTCTGAATCATCTTGTCCCTTAAATGCTGCACAGTAGACCTGGCCGTTTTGATTTGCGCCGTGTGACGCATCTTCGATGTGAAACATATATCAAATAGACAAGAAAAAAGATGTATGTATATATATCATTTTCCAGAAAGCTTTCAAGAACTGGCTGTGTTGGAGTTAGATTAGATTAGATTAGATTTCTCAGAAGTTTTCATAAATTCTCTGGAGGTCTCTATTAGGGCGCTTAATTTTGAAAAAAAAGTGATTAATTTCTGATATACCACTCTACAATTCGTATCACTGCCCCAAAATATGCATGGGTTAAAAATGGTACATATTAATGGAGATTTAGAGGTCGCCCATATGATTTGAAGTTTTTATGGAAATTACTATGGAAGAAATTAGAAAATCACTCACATCGCTCTAACTTTGCTTAGTAAGTTGCAAGGGTTTCTTCAGTCGAGTATTGGTCCAAGGCACTGAAAAAGTCTGCCCATTGGAAACGGAATACGCGTATCTGTCAAGGATAAGAAAAAATCTGTCCAAGTTTTTCGTTCAGAGAGCCAAGGACCGGGATGGACTGCATACGTACAAAGTGCAGAAGGCTCCAAATCGTGACGAACGGCAAAATACGGTGGGAAAGTAACGGGCCCAGAAACTGTACACCCAGATGCTGACGTAGCCTCATTATCTTATCATGGAAGATGAGACTTACGTCAAGGTGGACTTCCGGCAGCTTCCGAGGCTGCTGTTCTTCACCGCCCAGCATTAGTTTGATGTTCCGTAGGAAGTGAAGAAGCAGAATCTTTCAAAGTTGGCCAAGAAATACATGATTTGACAAGTGATCTACTCATGTGGCAAACGGAGTGCGCCGTTCGTGACTACCGGGACTGTTAATGGGGAGAATTATCTCAAGGAGTGTCTACAGAAGCGTCTGCTTCCTCTGTTGAAGCAACACGAGTGCCCTACGATCTTTTGGCCGGATCTAGCTTCATGCCCCTATTCCAATGCTGTCCTGGAGTGGTACGAAGCCAACGGGGTCACTTTCGTACCCAAAGACATGAACCCCCCAACGCACCGGAACTAAGGCCCATCGAAAAATACTGAGCTATTATGAAGCAGGCACTACGGAAGCATCCCAAGGAGGTCAAATCTGAGGAAGACATGAAGAAAAAGTGGGTTTCCGTACAGAATAAGCTGCAGCCAGATGTTTTACAGAACCTAATGAGTGGAGTTTTATTTATTTATTTATATGACTGAAAATCAACAGGGGTTATTTGCCCCAATGATGTAACTTAAACTAAACATGAAAAGTACTAAAACAAAACATCATTAAGTACATAGATAGTCATCTCGTAAAAAAAAAGAACATTACTAAACAAACTAAACTGATCTAGAAAAAAACGAACTAAACCTCCGGCGAAGCAGCTGGCGAGTCAGGTCAAAATCAAACAGTGCGGAGACCCTATTGAAGAGTCTCTGTAAGCCACCGATTGCACCGAACATGCTATAACTAGTTCGCTGTATGGGCAGGCGCAGCATTGAATTATTCCGTAGGGCTCGGGGTTGAACATTGATGTCAAATTGCTCAAGGAGGACAGGGCAATCGGTGCGTCCTTGCAAAATATCCGCAATTAGCAATGCCCTTGCTCTCTTCGGACCGACAGGTGCTCCAGATGGATCAGTTGCAAACGACTTTCGTAGCTAGGCAATCGGAAGGGATCCGTCCACGGCAGTTTACGTAGCGCATATCTCAGGAACCGTCGCTGAACAGACTCAACTCTTTCGACACCGTTGTTGTAGTGAGGAGTCCAGACAACCGAGCAGTATTCTAATATGGAGCGAGACAAGGAGCAGTACAACGATTTAAGGCAGTAGATATCCGTGAAGTTTTTGGCAATCCTGATGATAAACCCTAGAATTCTGGAAGCTTTGTCGACGGCGTGCGAGATGTGCTGCTTGAAAGAGAGTTTTGTATCCAGAATCACGTTCAGGTCCTTAATTTGGCTGACGCACTCAATTTCAGTGCCTAACAAAACATACTTGAACATAATAGTCTGTTTCTTGCGCGAAAAAGAGATAACCGAGCATTTGGACGGGTTAACCTCCATACGATTCAGAATACACCAATCAGCAAAAGCATTCAGCTGATGTTGAAAGAAGCAACAGTCTTCAATTGAGTGAATTCGGAGGTAGAGTTTAAGGTCATCTGCGTAAGATAATCGTGGTCCCTCAATTACCAGATTCACGTCGTTGAAATAAATCAGGAAAATCAGCGGTCCTGAGGTATGCTGGATGTGGCAGCGAACGTACGGGACTGGTAATCACCAATGACAACAGTAAGATAGCGATCGGTGAGGTACGACTAAAACCATTGCAAAAGGCAGCTGTGGATACCAAGCCTGTCCAGTTAAGCGATTGATATGCGGTGATTCAATTTATCGAAGGCAGCAGATAAGTCAATATAAATGACATCCGTCTGAGCACGATCCGACATACTGTTAGAGATGTAGGAAGTAAGGCACAGCAAGTTAGTGGCAGTGGAGCGACCAGCCATGAAACCATGCTGGTCGATACTAATATACGGCTTACAGTGAGCGAGTAACGGTTCCATAACAACGAGTTCGAACAATTTAGCAACAGCGCTAAGCGAAGTAATGCCACGGTAGTTGCCAACGTCCTGTTTGTTGCCTTTTTTATGTACTTTAAATATGTGCGCTAGCTTCCAACAGGATGGAAAAACTCCGACGTCCACAGACCGTTGAAAAACGTGCAGCAGTGGAGACAACAAACTGTCCAAGTGCGTTTTGAGGAACGCCGATGGAATTCCGTCAGGACCCGGATTGTACGACGACTTGAGTTTCGAGGAAGCCCTGAGAAACATCTCGGGATTGATGTCAATTCTGCTCATGGTTTGGCCAGAGAGTGGTACGTAACTGGCATCCAGTCGGGCATGGTCGTCACTCAGTCTCTCGTCCGTGAAGACACTAGCAATTTTTTCAGAGAACAGCTGACAGATATCGTGCGAAGATGAGGCCACGTTACCATTATGTGTCGTAGACGACGGCAGACTAGCTTCATGGCGTTGTTCGTTGACAAACTTCCAAAACTGCTTGGGACGTGACTTAAGCTTTCTCTGCAATCCACGTCGATACTGAAGAAAGCACCGTTTCGCAACTCGTTTGTATGCGTGATTGATCCTGACATAGTCACATTGAAGGGATAATGTGCGGTGCTTGGTGAACTTCCTAAGAGCGACTCTCTTTCTGGATTTCAGTCGACGAAATTCGCTCGTATGCCATGGTGGATGGGTCGTATGATGATGAATCTTTTTCGGAACGTGTCTGTCAATGATATATGCCAAGACATTGGAAATAGTTTGAGCGGCGGACTCAATGTCAACGGTGTCCTACCATGGTCAGCGTTGCGAAAATCGTAGGAAACGGTGGCAGGTGAAACATTAAAATCATGCGTGAGACGATCCAGTCTCACCAGAGGAGTGGGCGCCTCGCATAAGTGGGCGCTTACAAAACAAAGATCCAAACTGCGGTTGTTCTGGTTAATAACATGGTTGGTTTGAGAAAGAGTGGCTGAGCTGTAATTGTCCAGAAGGAGCGAAGCGTAGGAATGGATGACAGAGTGATCCATGTCAGGATAGAGGAAGCCGTTGCGAGTTTTTTTTTTCCATGAAATCCCCGGGAGATTGAAGTCACCAAACACAATAACTTCATTGGTTGCTTTGGCGGTATCCAGAACAGAGAAAACCGATTGGCAATGGGTTTCGATGAGGTCACGCACCCGTATACGGTCGGGAGGAAAGTAAACCGCACAAAGAAACAAGGTACAGTTTAATCGACGTCCACACCTGCTCTAAGCATGCCCAAGCATTAAAAAGTTAAGTTAAGCAAAAAATGCGAGGAAACAAGGCTGCCATTTTTTTTTTTTTCGTTGCCATTTAAATGATCTTTATTTCTTGTGATTGTGTGGTTTACATGTATGAATTTTTTAAGTGACACAGATGCGTCTTTTCAACTTTAGTACATTTGAGATTTTAATTATTATTTACAGTTCCTAGTCCTATCAGGTCTATTTTAAAGTATGACCACCTTGGTGGGATTGGTTTGATTTGAATTGGAAAAGGAGACTACTTATAACTACTATTTACAACTACAACTAACCTACAACTACTATGTACACCTAACCTACTATATACAAATTGCTTATCAAAGCATGTTCTGATAAATTACATTTTTGTGCAAATTTAGTCTTAATTTCGTTAATTTTGGAATCTATTTTGGCAATGCCTGCCTCTTCATGTAAATTTGTTATTCTAGTGTCGAAAGGACGATCAAGAACCATCCTCATCACTCTATTCTGAGCGACCTGAATTTTGTTCCTGTGAGTCTGTGCACATGATTCCCACACCGGAGCTGCGTAGAGGATCGCAGGTGCTATGATTTGTTTGTAGACGGCCAGTTTGTTCACCCTTGAGAGGCGGGATCTGCGGCAAATCAGCGGATACAGACTCCTAACCAAGGCGGAACACTTGACTACGGTTTTCTCCACATGCGAGCAAAATAGGAGCTTTTCGTCAAACAACATCCCAAGATAGGTTACTTCGGCAGACCACTCAACCCTTGTGCCATCCATGATTACAGTACAAGAGGGAGCCGGTTTTAGTTTGGGTGATTGCCGATGGAGAAACATGATTGTTTGTGTGTTGGAAGCATTGATTTTGATTTTCCACGTGGTGGCATAATCAGCAAAGGCGTTAAGGCATCGTTGAAGTTTGTTCGTTATTTCGCGAGGCATCCTTCCTTTGACGGCTATTGCGGTATCATCTGCGAACAGGAAAAACACGCAACCGTCTCCAAGGGGAGGAATGTCGGAAGTGTAAATGCTGTAAAGCAAGGGGCCCAGCAGACTGCCTTGCGGGACTCCTGCTGGGATGGAAAATGTGTCTGAAAGACAACCATTCAACGATACCTTAAACGACCTTTGCTGGAGGTAGCTACGGGTGATTTTAACAAGATGCAAAGGAAAGTTGAAGTTACAAAGCTTGTATACAAGCCCATTGTGCCAGACATTATCAAACGCTTTCTCAACGTCTAATAATGCCATGGCGGTAGACTTGGATACAGCCTTGTTACTTCGGATGTTATTCATCACCCGTACTAGCTCATGATTTGTGGAGTGCCCCTTCCTGAACCTGAACTGTTCCGGTAGGAGAATGTTGTGTTCCTCGACAAGCTTGAGCAAACGATTGAGAATAAGTTTCTCGAACAATTTGCTCAGCGCTGAAAGGAGGCTGATTGGTCTGTAGCTTGAAGCTAGCGTTGGGTCCTTCCCGGGTTTGCGGATAGGTATGATTTTCGCTGTTTTCCAGATACTTGGAAAGTAGTGCAGTTCCAAGCATCTGTTGAAGACAGCAGCCAGCAGAGAGTGAACCTTCATGCTGAGATTTTTCAATACTAGGTTGAATATTCCGTCAAACCCGGGGGCCTTCATGTTTTTGGTGCATTTCAGCGTTGAGCAAATCTGTTCAACTGTGATTCTATCCTCCGGAGGGATGGCACAAGGGGAGGAATCAAGGTTGAGTACGCATTGCTCTACCTGAACTTCGAGCGGACTTTGGATGTTGAAGCCAAGCAAGTGCGATTTGGCAATATGCTCACCAATCGCATTTGCTTTCTCCTGAGGGGTGATTATGAGCCGATCGTCGTCATTTTCATCTTTGAGTGGAGGAATGGGTTTGGGGTGCGTCTTTAGGACCTTAGCTACCTTCCAGAATGGTCTGGAGCGGTCGTCCAGATTCTGGACAAGCCACCCGAAACTTTCGTTCTGGAGTGAGACCATTCTGGAAGCAATCTCCTTGTTCAGATCGGCCATTTCACGTCTCCTCGCTAGATCTCCGGTTCTCTGGAACTGGCGTCTACGCACATTTCTCAAGCGAATCAGTAATTGGGTGTGGGAATCAATGGCAATAAACTTACCCCTCACAGGAACTCGTCGGACGCACGCCTCGTCAGCCACGGTTATGGCTTGGTGGAGTCCCTCCAACGCTCGGTCGATGTCCTCCACGGTGTCAAGCGACGGGTTGTCGATGATGTGCCTGTCTACCACGCGTCCAAACTGGGCCCAGTTTACGCGATGGTAGTCCTTGCGCAGGCTTGAAGCAGGAGCCACGTTGCAACCCAGTTCAGCCACCACCGGTTGGTGGTCGGAGCTGAGTTCGTTCAATGCTACCGGCTTGGACAAGCCGATATTTGTCAGGAACAGGTCTAGCGTCGATGGGTTGCCAGCCGGTGAGATAAATGTTGGCTCATCCGAAAACCAAACGGAGTACAGCCCATGCTGTGAGTGGTCGAACAGCAGACGACCGTTTTGGTTCTGCTGGTAGTTCCGCCAGGCCTCATGGCGAGCATTCAGATCTCCTCCAACTACGAAGCGGGAACCGGTACGGGTGATAGTGGACAGGTCTTTTTTGAATTTAGCCGCTAGTCCACTGCTGGCGGAACACTGTCGAGGACAGTAGATGGCGATGAACTGGACGTATCCAGTCGACGACTCCACCTCCACACCAAGGGCCTCGATGATAGAGGTGCGGATATGAGACAGAGTGTGGTATTTTATTCCTTTCTTGACGACGACCGCAACACCACCCCCCCCCCCCCTGGAGCTGGTGCGATCAAGCCGAATAATGTTGTGGTCAGGCAACCAGAAGCTGTCGCCGGACTTTAGATGGGTCTCTGATAGGAGGCCCACGTCGATACTATGCTTGAGGAGGAAGTCAGCAAGCTCGAACTTTTTGGCTCGTACAGAGCAAGCGTTCGACGTGACTATAGTTAACGGTTTAGACGCCATACCGAATGATAAACTTACCGAGCACTTGGATCTGTTCGGGTTTGTTGCGGCACTGACGAAGAGCGCTGGTCATGTCGACGAAAATCTTCATCAGCTCATCCGCAGAGAAGAGATCGGGATTGGCGTTTTGTGCTTCTGGTTGTCTCCAGAATCCAGGGGGGGGGATGGAGAGCTTTGTCCAGCTGAGGCACCAGACGTTTCTTGACGGGGGCCGGATTGCACCCGTGGATTTGCTTGACCGTGTTGCGTACCACGAAGAGGTGGGAAGTCCTCCACCCTGAATGCCGGAGTGTTTTCCTTCTTCCGTCCTGGTTGGCTTCTTGTGGACGCTTGCTTTCGGATCCGCTTGAAATCCTCGCGTTTGGGACACTGTTTGTCGGACCCTTGATGAGCTCCACCACAGTTGGCGCATTTGCATGTTTCCGACTCGTCGACAACACACTCGGAGGAAACATGATTTTGGGCGCATTTGCCACAGCGCGGATTGATGTAGCAGTTTCGGGTGCCATGCCCGAAATTCAGGCAACGCTGACACTGGGTGACGTCGTGACGGCCGCCACGGTATGGCTCCCATTGAACAATGATGAAGTTGATGGAGCGGATGGCCTTCAACGCATTGGGCGTCACCGTTCCCTTCTGGAAATGAACCAGGAAAAGGCAATCCGGGTACGTTTTCACGTTTTCGTCTCTCCTCGTCATCCGGAAGACTGCGATTGGGGCTAGCTTGTAACGGTCCTTAAGTTCTTCTTCGATCGACTTGGGGTTGAAGTTCGGTAAGCCCCTGATGACTACCTTGAAGGGCTTCTCACCGGGGATGTCATGTGTGAAGTATTCCGCCCTGGAATCCTTCAGGTACTTCACGGTTGCTTCGTACTCCGCTTTGGTACGCAGCATCACCTTGGTGCCGATCCTGCTCAGCTTGAATTCAGCTGCAACGCCCAGCGATGTGAGCTCGCTAATGAGCGTGTTGAGTGGCACTTTCATCACCACCAGTGGAGGAAGCTTGACTTTTGCCGTACTCGGGACGGCAGAATTTTCATGCTCGACGGTACCGCCGAATTCACCGATGTCGCTGACGTTCGTCATGGTGTCACGGCCACTCGCACCATCGGACTGGCCCTGATTCTTCTTCCTTTTCTTCGTCCGCTTCACTTCCGCTGGTAGGGCATTCCCAACATCGGTGGGAAGAGTAGCGTACCTATTTGTGATAGGTACGCACGAGCTACCTTCACCACTATTCTCCACTTTCTCACGGAGCTTGCTCCGGGAGCGCTGCCTTCCCATCACACGATGCAACCGGCACTACGACACGAACAAACGCGCAACTCGAACAACTCGACTGAGCGAGCCAAAACCGGACTAAACTGCTTGACTACTACACTATTCGAGCCTCAGTTGGAACCATAAATGTACATCAACTGGACTGAATGAGTGAAGTGCAAACGATAATGAGGTCTGAGTACCATGGGTCGAGGAAACAAGGCACTCCCAGGGGAATTAAGAAGGGTTTTTGAAGAAGTCAGAAGAAACATCTGGGCGAACGAATGAGTTTTCCGGTGGAAGTCAGATGAAACTTCTGAGGAAAATAGGTAAACAAAATCCAGGGATGTCAGAAGGCGCTTTCCGAGGGCGGAAGATTCTTATCGGAAGGTTGGAAGAAATTGCCAAATAAAATTGAACGAAACTTCCTAGGAAAGTTGGAACCAACTTTCTTGCGAGGTTAGAAGAAGTTCCGATCGAACTCGAAAGAAATTTCCGGGGAAATCAACTGGAGGAAATTTCCGTGGCAAGGCGACAGAAATTTGAAGAGGAAGCTGGAAGAAACTTCCAGGTAAACTCGGAAGGAACTTCCGGGTGAACTCCTTAAAAAAATATCTCATGGACGTCGGAAGACACTTCCAAAGAAAGTCAAAAGGCAGTCCCCCGGAAGGCATAAGGATACTTCCGTGTGAAATAGGATGCAATTTCCCTTTTCCGAGAAAGCCAGTGGGACTTGGGTTAGTTGGAAGATGGAATAATTGTATTGTGATTGGAATGTAGGAAATCCCCAGAATATGTCGAAAGACGCTGTTGTGCAAAGTCTGATCGAGCTCCAATTTAAATGAGTAACTTTCAAATGAATAACTAAGTAAAAAATAAACATGTTTCCCGATTTCCGGGAATGCTTTAAAAATGGCCGGAAAATGTATACGTTGTAGGCCCCCGGACACATCGTATATTCATTGTATGTTAGGTAAAACACTACTTGGAAGAGACTTTCAGGAAAACCTGATAGGATTTTTTCGAAGTCAAAAAAACAACGCAAAGGCAGCTACAGGGACAGGGAAGCAAGATTAAACTTTCAGAAGAATGCAGAAGAGTCTTTTGTTAGAAGTCAGATGTAATTTCCGAGTGAATTAAGGAGGAATTCGTTCAAATCTTCCTGGAGAAAACAAATTATTAAAATTTATTTAAAACGTTTTATGTTTCATTAGAATATCACCTCGGGCAAATGTGATAATTATAATAAATAACTATCAAAAATTATATCAGGTCGCTTGATAAAAATCTTTTCGAACCCTGGCAAGAGCCATCCGCTGTTTCTCGATTCCCAGGTAGCCAGAAATGGCTGAGAAATGGAAAAACTAGTTTTAGTGCTAAGTAGTCAATGGCTACCCATGACCGCCCACAACCACAGCACTGGATTCTACCGAAGAGTTCCAGTCACGTTCAAAATTCTTAGAACATTAGTCATCGCACAACCACCATCATCACGGAGGCTGATTTGGCACATTCCTTCCGTCGGACTCCCTTCACCGAATCTTGGCGCCAGTAAATCAGCAAACCAAAAATGCAAGGCCTTTCGGTTTGGTTTAATGTAAATGATGCAAAAAGAGCCCAGTAACGAGTGCCCCGATATAGAAAATGCGGCTTGTGGCGTGATAGCATACGCTTCGACCTGATGCCTGATGGTGGTATGGTAAACCACATTTATATGGATATTAGCTGCCACAACGACGACGACGACGACGGCACGAGACAGCGAATGCAACATTATGTTCACGACTTTTGACAAGAGTGACAGCAACGGCAGCAGTCGGGGCACCACCAGAGGCCTTTTCTGTGGCTCCAACCAGCAGCGAGAGCATAAACACGCGCCCGCGCGCGACATTAAACACATTCCTCCGGAGGCACACGCCTTCCAGATTCGATTGGCTGTTTGCTAGCCTATAGCTTGATCACCTATAAGTGCGATGCGGGATTTTTGCGCTGAATTGGATAATCACACGTACAAACGCAGAAACTACGTACAGTGTATTGCTAAATTGAGCGTACACCTGAATGGACCAGCAAAATTTCAAAAAATCTGATTAATTGTATTTCAAGAAAAGGTGATTTTCCTAACATAGCTCTCACTTTTTACACGCTCAACCAAATACTATACCGATAACCGATAAATGTTTGATTGGCCAGCAGCCACAAATAAAGCAATACTATGCGAATTCCCACTGGGGACGTATTAAAACCAAAGAAGAAGTTGTACGCTCAATTTTGCGATACACTGTACCTACGACCAAATCAGTTGAGAACATTGCATCTGGGGGCACTCAAATCAAGCATAACATTATCGAGGCGACTGACGTTATTTCTATTTCTTCCTAATTTACCAACCACGAGGCATAATTTTAGTTGCATAGCTCATTTTTAATGCCAATGCTCGGCTACAGGGGTGAGTAACGAGACTCGCAAAATTGGAAAATCGAAAGTGTTTCGCCAGGTTGGGTGTACCCTGGGTAATGTGAGGCACACATCACAAGGTGATTAGTCGAATCAGGAGCAATGAGATGGTGATTTTTGTTTATTAAAATTCTTACGATTGTTAATTGAATTTTTTGTCATTAGAAAGGCAAGAGCTAAGTGGTGGTAGAGAAAATTGCTTGATTCATAAAATTATGTGTTGAAGCTGATAAACCGTGTGAAAGTAAACCATACCAATCTCACAAGAATTCGTATATATTTTACTGGGTTTACCCTTCAGAGTGACTTTGTATTTCACCCATTGATGGAAAAGTACGCAAATACTCACTATCAGCGAATCCAAACACATAAAGCAACCAACGATACAGACAATACGGTTGCTACGACTACCATGACAAACTCGCTCTGTAACATAGCTCGATCCGAGTGGTAGAAGGATAATGATATATTGCTTGCCTGCTTTGTTGCAATATACACGGATGAGGACATAGCTTGATATGAATCGAGAAAAGACATAACAAAAAAATTTCCATTAACACACGTGTATCATGTTCGGCTTTACTTCGTGAAGCAGCTTGCCAACAATTTGCTCGTTTTCTTCTACCGCCCCGAGTGAGTTGTGTCGCACGGGCTGCTTGTCATGAAAAAGAAGGAAGAAGATTATATCATTATTGCTTTGCACTTCTGACATAGCGTTATTATTCGGTTCGTTGATCGCTTGTCATTTTGTCATTTGATTTGCGAACTTTCCCAACGCTGATTTCACTTAGAACGATTATCTTGGAATGCTACTTCAAGTTATTGTGGAATTTACCTCAGAATTATCCTGAAAACATTGTCTTGCTCTGTAATAATTCTAATTAAATTTCCTGAATTCAGAATTTCAGGAAAACTTGAAGTGAAATCTGAGGGTGCCTTTCAAGGTAGTTCTGTTGAAATCCAAATCTCAGGTGAAACTTAAGGAGAATTTCAAGTTGATTCTGAGTAGAACCCTCAGAAAGTGTTAAGTATGATTCAAATATTTGCGATGAACTAGCCCTTTGATAAACATCACTTTAATAAAGTTGAAATCGAAAAGGAGGATTCCAATGAAATTTACGACATAATTCTGAGGAGGATTCCAAGGTACCGTAAAACGGGGTAACATTGATAGTTTTTTGAAGTATATTCTAAATATTTTTTACAGCAATAAATGTTTTTCAATTTTTTTTAAACAAGTACTGAGGATCCAATTTTTTTTAAACAAGTACTGAGGATGCGTTAGTTATATGTTTAACTGAAAGTTAAGTATTTGAATTTTATATTTTAGTTTTGTCATCAAACGTCAGTATTTTGATTTGGGGATACTTTGATAATGTTCAATTAATGTAGAAAAAATGCGTGAAACTCAAACAATTTAGTGCTTGAAATGTGAAATTTTGAACGAGTATATAATCAGAAAACATCATTAGCAATAAGAATACAACATTGAATTTGTGATAGCTAGGGGAATTTACGTATTCTCGTCAATCTAAGCAGTGTCCGCACTTCTATTAGCATTTTCTCAGCGTCACGCACATATATGACGTGTTTGTTGGTTTACATTCATCTGCTGCTTGCTTCTCTATCCATTCCAATCGACAGAATTCTTCAAAACTGTTTGAAAGCGTTTTTACAACGCTCCAAACTTCTCAAGTGAGTGTGACTATTGTCGGCAGCCTCTTTTTCTTCGGCAACCTTCCCATTAGAACTGCGTGTTAACAAGCTGTTCTATTATCGGCAACTTGAAATCAACCCCATTTTAGAGTACGTATGTTTCATTTGAATACAAATCTGGCATAACAGGACTGCTCAGACGTACAAATACAATCAGATTGAAGCTGAAAGACTAAAGAATCGTTTGGGTGCATTCAGGGACGTGAGTTTATGGGAAAACATAGTGAAATTAACGTTTAAATTTTGGTTGCCGAAAACAGTCAATGGGTGCCGAAGCCGACATTTACCCTATATCGGAAATACATTGGTTTGAGTGTTTTTTTCAAACAGGCGAAAAACAAAAAAAAATGTTTTTAAATATGTTTGTAAAATAGGGGAATTTACGTATTCTCGTCAATCTAAGCAGCTTCCGCATTTCTATTAGCATTTTCTCAGTGTCACGCACACATATGACGTGTCTGTTTGTTTACATTCATCTGCTGCTAGCTATTCTATCCATTCCAATCAACAAAACTGTCCAAAACGGTTTGAAAACGTTTTTAAGGCGCTACAAACTTCTCAGGTGAGTGTGACTATTGTCGGCAGCCTCTTTTACTTCGGCAACCTTTCCGTTTAAACTGCGTGTAAGCCAGCTGTTCTATTATCGGCAACTCGAAATCAGCCGTATTTTAATGTGCTTATGTTTCTTTTGCAGAAACACCTGGCATAACAGGTTTGCTCAGTCGTAAAAATGTATAAGGATTGAAGCTGAAAAACTAAGGAATC